TGTGTTATTTGTTAGAAGCAGACCTTGTGTGTCGCTGCACCTTAAGCTGATCAAGGGGTATTGGATGGTCGAGCTTTTACTCGGACCATCAGACATTTACTCTCTCTGGGAAAAGACCAGGTCTGAGAGAAGGGATTTTGAGCCCAGCCACACCTGGGCTCCTCTCTGAAGGAAGTCTAGAAAGCAAGGGGGTTCAGTCCTAATCTCCCTGGATTGCGCAGTCTGAGTTGTGACATGTACAGGACTGGATCCAGCCACACCTGGGCTCCTCTATTGCAGCAGGAGCTCAGAAAGCAAGGGGGTTCAGTTCTAACCTTCCTGGGTTGATAAATCCGGGCCGTGTCATAAGTCAACAAAAGTTAGTTGCTAATACACAAGGCAATCTTTAGTGTCAAAACACCCCTCTGACAATGAACAAATACAAATCTCTAATGTTATTGCTGTTAGCAAAAACTTTGCACAAACTTTACCAGCTCTTGTAGATTCACTGCATTTATCATAAAATCATAGAATCTTAGGGGCTGGAAGGGACCTCGAGAGATCATCTAGTCCAACCCCCCTGCCAGAGCAGGGTCACCTAGAGTACATCACACAGGAACTCATCCAGGTGGGTTTTGAATGTCTCCAGTGAGGGAGACTCCACAACCTCCCTGGGCAGTCTGTTCCAGTGCTCTGTCACTCTCACAGTAAAAAAATTTTTTCGGATATTCACCTTGAACTTCCTATGCTCCAATTTACACCCATTACCCCTTGTCCTATCACTGGTCATCACCGAGAAAAGCCTAACTCCGTCCCCCTGACACTCACCCCTTACATATTTGTAAACATTGATGAGGTCACCCCTCAGTCTCCTTTTCTCCAAGCTAAAGAGACCCAGCTCCCTCAGCCTTTCCTCATAAGGGAGATGTTCCACTCCCTTAATCATCTTCGTAGCTCTGCGCTGGACTCTCTCGAGCAGTTCCCTGTCCTTTTTGAACTGAGGGGCCCAGAACTGGACACAATACTCCAGATGTGGCCTCACCAATGCAGAACAGAGGGGGAGGAGAACCTCTCTTGAATGCTCCAGATGTGACCTCACCAATGCAGAATAGAGGGGGAGGAGAACCTCTCTTGACCTACTAACCACACCCTTTCTAATGCACCCCAGGATGCCATTGGCCTTCTTGGCCACAAGGGCACATTGCTGGCTCATGGTCATCCTCCTGTCTACCAGGACCCCCAGGTCTCTTTCACCTACACTACTCTCCAGCAGTTCAGCCCCCAACCTGTACTGGGACATGGTGTTGTTCTTCACCAAATGTAAAACTCTGCACTTCCCCTTGTTGAATTTCATCATGTTTCTCCCCGCCCAACTCTCCAACCTATCTAAGTCTCTCTGAATGGCAGCACAGCCTTCTGGTGTGTCAGCCACTCCTCCCAGCTTAGTGTCATCAGCAAACTTGCTGAGGGTACATTCTATACCCTCATCCAGGTCGTTGATGAAGATGTTGAACAACACCGGTCCCAGTACCGACCCCTGTGGGACTCCACTAGTCACACACCTCCAACCAGATTCTGCCCCATTGACTACAACTCTCTGACTCCTTCCTTTCAACCAGTTCCTAATCCACCTCACTTCCTGATCACCAAACCCATACCTGATCAACTTTTCTACAAGGATGCTGTGGGAGACGGTGTCAAATGCTTTACTGAAATCAAGATAAACCACATCTACCGCTCTACCATCATCTATCCACCTAGTAATTTCCTCATAGAAGGCTATGAGGTTAGTCAAACATGATTTACCCTTGATAAAACCATGCTGACTGCTCTTGATGACCCCCATGTCCTTGATGTGCCTGGAGATAGTCACAAGAACAAGTTGTTCCATCACCTTTCCAGGGATGGAGGTGAGGCTGACCGGTCTATAGTTACCCGGGTCCTCCTTCTTGCCCTTCTTGTAGACTGGAGTGACATTTGCTATCCTCCAGTCCTCAGGCACCTCACCTGTTGCCCATGACTTACTGAAGATGATGGAGAGTGGCCTAGCAATGACCTCCGCCAGCTCCCTCAGCACCCTTGGGTGCATTCCATCTGGACCCATTGATTTATGGATGTCCAGATTACTCAACTGATCCCTAACCCAATCCTCATCTACCATGTCAAACTCTTCCTCTATCTTGACTTCTTCTGGGGCTATATGAATCTGGGGCTCATAGGGAGACCCTGCAGGAGTGAAGACAGAGGCAAAGAAGGCATTCAGCACCTCTGCCTTCTTTATATCCTCTGTCACCAGGGCTCCCACCTCATTCCTCAATGGGCCAATATTGCCTCTACTGCTAGTTTTGCTAGCTATGTATTTGAAAAAGCCCTTTCTATTATCCTTAACCTGACTTGCAAGGTTAAGTTCCAAGGAGGCCTTAGCTTTCCTAATTGCCTCCCTACATCCTCTGACAACAGTCCTATATTCCTCCCACGTGACCAGCCCCTCCTTCCATGATCTGTAGATTTTCCTTTTCCACTTAAGTTTGCCCAGTAGTTCCTTCTTTAACCATGCAGGTCTCCTAGCACCCTTACTAGATTTCCTAACCATTGGGACACTCTGATCCTGTGCTTGCAAGAAGTGGTCCTTGAATGTTGACCAGCTATCTTGAGCTCCTTTATTTTCTAGCACCCTGTCCCATGGGATTTCCCTTAATAGATGATTGAGGAGACCAAAGTTTGCCCTGTGGAAGTCCAGGGTTCTGGTCCTGCTGGGTATTTTGTTCCTTCCACACAGGATATGTACTCATATAAAATCTGTTTTGTTGTGATTACATCAGCTCAGTTAAGATTTTATTAGCATTTAAATTCTATCACCATGCCTTACAAATTAGGTAGTTAATATTGTACAAACAAGGCAAACAAATAATTATCTTACTGTATTGCTTAATAATCTACCTGGTCTTCTGACATTTTTCAAAAAGAATTTTCAGCTTCAGTACAATACATTTTTTTTCTACTATGTTCTTGTTTGTTACACAGTTGTCAGGCTTTTCACTCTCAGTCTATCATCAATGCACTGGAGGAACCTCCTAGACTGTGAAAGGCTGGTTGTGTGAGTCTTCCAGCAGATATCAGGGTAGTTGAAATCTCCCATGAGGACCAGGGACTGTAGTTGTGAGGCTGCTTTCTGCTGCCTGTAGAAAACCTCATCAACCTCCTCACCTTGATCAGGAGGTCTGTAGTAGACCCCCACAACTGTGTCACCCGCACCTGCTTGCCCCTTAATTCTTACCCACAGACTTTCAACTTGCCCCTCATCAGCCCCTGCACGAAACTCAATACATTCTAGTTGCTCTCTCACATAAACAGCAACTCCACCACCTCGCTTCCCTGCCCTATCTTTCCTAAAAAGCACATATCCATCCATGGCCACATTCCAGTCATGTGAGCTGTCCCACCATGTCTCTGTTATTGCTACTAGATCATAACCCTTAGCCCGCACACAGACCTCTAATTCCTCCTGCTTGTTCCCCATGCTGCGTGCATTAGCATACAGGCATTTCAGGAAACGAACAGAGCACACCGGTGGGACTAAATCCTCCTTGGACGACCTGACTTTGGGCCATGGTGTGTTCCTCTTGTGCTTGTCCCTAACAGACCCGTCCTGGTTATGTCCTGGTTTGAGCCAGGATGAAGCCAATTTTTCTTTTTACTGATGTTTTTTTCCTTCAGTAAGCTTTTTTGTAACTAGCAACAGTGTGTTTGGATACTCTCTGGATAAATTCTCTTCTCCCCAGGTAGTGCCTCCGCAGCAGGCCGGGACAATTTATTATCCATATTTTCAGGTTGGTAAGATCCATATTATAAGGTTGATAACACATTTTTTTGTAAGCACAACTGAAATCTGATATGAAACTTGTGGAATTGCCATTTCAGAAAAGGTTTGGCAACTGTGGGAAACTGTTCTTTTCTTCCCCACTGGTAGCCCCCCAGTACTGGCTTGCGACTTCAACACAGATGACAGTCTAAGATGCTTTTAATAAACCATTCACCAAGCAGTGCACATGAAACGGTCTGCTAAATAACCAAGCCCAGAACACAGTACAGATCTGCTGCACCTGCTGAGTCAAATCACAGAATTACTCCTTAAGCATGTTTAGTATAAAAAAATAATAATCCCACTTAGGTATAAGAATCCCATTTAGATATTTAGGGATAAGAAACCTTCACTTAAAAGATACACTTGGAAATCCCAAGTAATACATAAATATTAAGCTCTTAATTACTATAGAGGACTACTGTAACGCAGCTGAATTTGCTCAAAATTGTAATTAAGTAATTAGAACCACTTATTATGGATAAAGATCCCATTGAATTGTTACCTGACAGGTGCTTATGGACTAGCAATGAGAAATTCTGTCCTTTCAGCAAAGCAACAGTTACTTTGCAAAATAAACACACACGTGGTCCTCAAAAGACATTTCTCAAAATAGATGAGCTCAAAGCAAAGTTTTGGCAAAAAAGGCTATTCCTTGGACACGCATAGGTGGTTAGCTAGATTAAGAAAGAGCTTTTACATTATTTTAGCACATTGATGAGACTAATCATCAAGTACCAGATGCAGTGCTAGAGTAGACATGGTAAAAATATTTTCAGGACTTAGAAATGCTGCAGCAATAGCAACAAAATTATACAAAATTAGAAAAATTAGCTAGACTGAAACATTTAAATAGCTCAATCTTTCAGTTTATCAAAAAGATCTTATAAAGAATAAACGTTTTCCACTGGAAAAAATACAAAGTAATAACAGATATTTAAATGAGTAACAGATGTCACAGTGAGACAAAAGGAGGTAAAAGGACACCAGATGGAAGACATTACATGTTTCTAAGTGGTAGTGAACACTGAAGGCTTTTTCTCCTGTTCTGACAATTCTGAGATGGCAATAATACAAAACACTCAAGACAAAACATGCAAACACACCGGTATGTCCAAAATTCACTGTCAGAGTTATGAAGGTTTAAATCAGTACTTACTTGGTATGTGTCCCACAGCCTGATGGTGCATCGTAAAGGGACTTCTCTCATCAGTAAGTTATTCATCCAACGGAAAGCAAACTGCAAGTATTTCACCTCATGCTGATCCAAGTGCCTGTGAACTTGTTCTGAAGACAGAACAAACAGACATTTTAACTGCAACTTTTCTGAAGACTGTAAGTATCAAAACCACTATTTGAAAAATAAAAACAATCCTCCAATCTCAAACAAATAAAACATGCATGGTGCATGTGCATGGTGGTGCACGTTAGAATTGGATGAAAATCCCTAAAATAAAAACAACTATTTGAACATTACATTGGAATTATTTTTCTGCCTCTAAAAGGCAGAAGCTAGATGGCTTAAACAACTGTTCTCCACTATGCTATCTTAAGAAAAGTTTACAGTTAGAGCTTTACACTATACCACAGAAAATATAAAGAGTTCTAAAGTGAAATTATTAGATACATATATCCTCATTAATTTCTCAGGCTACAAATTACTTGGGGTGAGACTACAAGAAACAAGGTTTGCAAACAACAATGGCTTACAATGATAAAAGTGTTGGTAATAAAAAGAAAACAATATTAAATTAACAAGGCAAATATAAGGAAATAGATGTAAAGGTTGTATTCACTCGAGACAAAAAAGTGAGATTAATGTATACGAAACACAGTGAGAAAATGTAAATAATTTGCAGCTTAAATAATTTCTTAGCATAACAAATACACACAAACAAGAATCAGCACAAAGCAATGGTTTCTAAACCAGTACTCACATATACTATGTTTACTGTAGGACATTTACCATATGAAAGCTGAGATAATCACTTGCATTGGTTATTGCTGGAGCTAACAGAACTAATCTACTACATGCTTTTTGATACATTCAGCAGACTTTCCTCCAAAAAGAATCACAGACATTCTGTTAAGAGGCTTTGGCTAACAGGCTCGAGTATGACATTGGTGTGGTTTAAATGAAAATTACTGCAGAAATGCTAATGTCTTATTTTGACAAAATATGAAAAGAAGTCTTTGTTAAAGCCTCAATAAGCCATTCCTACTGTTTGTCTTTATACAAATACATTTTTGGGAGATATTGCCACCCAGATCATTCTTCACTCACGTTCACAAAGTTGTATTATCAGCTAAAACAATGAGTAGATGCTGATCTTCCAAATTTCGTATTTCATTGAAAGATCTAAAAAAGCACTGAAACACTCAATGAACAAAGAAAAATAATTCCAAGGATGTGGCAGCACTGTCACAGGAAACATTACTGAAAGATACAGGTAGCAGAAGTTAAATTATAAGATAAACAATTTATTTTTTTTCCCCACTATGCATTTTGTGGCTATATGAAAGTGTCAGCCAATATGGTACAGTTGTTTCAATACCAAAGCAAGAAGTCAAAATTTTTTAGATTTTTAAAACAATCAATAGTGAGCTTTTTCAGAAGCAAGACCAGTCACAACACTTCACATGAAAGGCCCATATATCACAACATTCTGTCTCCAATGGTGTCTAAAAACAAATACTCCTGGAAATGTATAAAGCACCAGTTTTTCTCCATGGCAGTTCTCAGCCTCTGTCTGCAGTTAACGAACTTGTAGGCAAACCTGGTATGTGTGTTCCTGAAGTCACATCCTTCTGTTATATAAATAAAGACAAATATATAAAAAAGTTTATGTACATCTTAAAACTATCTGCTACTTCTCCTAGGAACTTTAAAGTCAGAGCTATACATAAAGAAGTGTGAATCTTTAAATGAATCATTTTTATGTATAACTAACTAGGTAATTAGATGCCTCTGCTATACAATAGACTGAACTGCTACTATGGGGAGTGAAAAAGGAGAGAACGAGGGTGGAAAGGTAATGATCTTATGCCCTCTTAAGTGATCTCATCTGGTCCTGGATAATCTCTCTCCTTCCCTGTCATTATGTGTATAGGAAAAGCACTACAGCATTACTACTATATATTGTGCCTACATATTGTTGGTATTTCTAGAACTACATGAGAACTTTGTGATGGGTTTTCTACCACCCATAATAGCCTCAGCCTTCCAGTCTCAAGAACTCTGTGATCAATCAGCTTCCTTCCTTTACAAATCTAAGATCCTCCCATGACCTTCACACTCCTCTTTCCCAGGCTTTCTGCAAGTCCTCACCTGCCCCAGCTGGGGGAGAGACAACAGCCAGTATAAGGGCTACCAGGGCACACAGCTGAGCTTGGTGTAAACCAGCCACCCCAGTTCCCTTTCTGCCAGGCTGCTCTCCAGACACTCCTCTCCCAGTTTATGCTTGTACCCAGTGCTACTTCCTCCCAAGTGCAGAATCTGGCATTTATTCTTCTTATTTTTTCAAACAATAAATAAATCACTTATGATTTAAATTTATCACTTAATGATAAATCACCCAATGCTCCAGTCCAGTCCATCCAGATACCTCTGCAAGTCCTCTTATCCCTAAAGAGAGTCAACAGCCTCTCCTGGTATGGTACCATCAGCAAACTCACTAATGGTGCACTCAACTTCTGCATCCAGATCAGGGATAAAAATATGTACAGAACTGGCCCTAGAAATGAACCTTGAAGGACACAGCCGGTGACCAGTTGCCAGACAGATGTAGCCCTGCTCACCACAACCCTTCGAGCCCTGCAGTTCAGCTGGTTCTTCACCCAGCACAATGTTATTAGCTTAGTTATTCAGGACAAGCTCAGAATTACTACTGTGTGTCTGTCTTTGCTCTAGGCAGATTTCTCTACAAGTTAGATATACCTAAATGAGATACTACGTTAAATTTATTTTTTAAATGTCGCATTTAGACAACTATATTGCAGATTACCATAATTAGATAATCCACTGCATCAAGCAGGATGCAAAAAAGTCAGTTGTATTTCTAACTGGTTACTAACTCACAAACATTCTTATTCTTCACACAGCAGAAACAAATCTAATTTGGTTGCTTGTAGCCATTGAAAATAAGTAATGAAGAACAATAAATTGTGCCAGTTGTGATATTTCCACTACAGTTGTTAATAGGCCTAATTAATTTCTCGAAAGTTGCTTTCTAGTCTAAACAAGTTGAAGAATAGGCTACTAAGCTCTGTGCATTATATATAATTGATGCAAGGCTGGAATAGAAGATGCTTTTACTAAAAAAGCTAATTCTTCCTACTTTGTAAGTAATCATGAGTAGAGGCTATTTTGCTGATAAAGGTAATTTGGACAGTCATAATCTAAACTTAAGATTTTCCATTTCAATGAAAATACATACGTGCATGAATGAAAAAGAAAGATATATAATTACTGTCAGCCTTCAGGCTTCAACTATTTTATAGAAAATAGATCTACTATGGTTTCTGATAGGAAAATTATTTTACAGCTTTTGAAAAAGACAGCTCTTTTATCAAAAGGAAAGAAGAACTACATTTAATAAGTCTCCCAATAATTTCAATAAATCTACATATAAAGTTTTGGTAAAGCAAGTCTTCTGATTAAAAATTAAAATACATTACACAGATGCATTCCAAAGCAGCATGCCACCAAAGTTAAGTATTTTGTACATAAAAAGCATTTACAACTCTGTGTAATTTAATAAATGCACTTATTGGATATATCAGTTTGATCACATTTAGCCACCTTAAACAGATGCTTCCTATGGTAGGAGGACCTATGCACGTAAAATATTTATTGCTAGTGTTTAATGTCAGCTTCTCATGCTATTTTACTGATTTCAGAATTAAAGCTGTAGATGACTACAGAATCACAAAGTCACACATAAGGACAGAAATAACCTGTACTAAAGCACAACTTAACTGATGCCCTGACTAGGGGATATCATCAGAATGAGTGCCTAGGAAAGTTTACCTACAAGCAAAGAGGAACTGTAAAATAATGTTAAAATTATGCATGAATTTCCAAATTATAGTGGCACAGCATGGTGCTACTGCATCCATGTAATTTATTACTTTAGAATATTAGCCTTTTGGTTTTGACCTTTATTTAAAGATTCCTATCAACCCTAGCAATATTTCCTGACATTTGACTTTACACCTACATTTTGACACTTTTGAATATTATTTAAAGTTCATTTTTCATTCATATTTCATAACTTGGACACTTGGTTTTTAACAACTCATGCTTTTTATATTTACAATTAAATACTTATGAAGTATTGATAAAATGGGAGTTAGAAATTATCTGATGTGCAGTTAAGCTAAGTATCTCCGATAACTAGGCCATTTAGTTCAACAAAAGAAAGAAAAATGTGTATATTTCTCATGAAGAGACACACAATTCTTGAAAAGCATACACTAGCTACAAGAATAACTCCCCTGGGACCAGTAAAAAATGAACAGCGAAATAATGAGCCAACATTTGCCTCAGAGGCTTATTGGTACTGCCATTTACATACAGAGTGATGTTTGTGCATTGCTTCTTTAACACATGAGAATATGCTACAGAAATATGGTAGTGCTTCTGTATTCCAGCAGCAATCTAGCAGGATTTTCTTCTTTCTGGACCATGCCAGTGAAGGCAAGCATTATGGATTAATCATTCAGAGACTAACATAATGGAAGACAAGCCAAAGACAGCAAAGAGCATGAGGCACTGACATTTCAGATAACCATTTTCACATCTACTACAGGTGAGAATCTCCACTGTCTTAATTCTCTGTTTTTGAATTAGTCATCTTGCTAGTTTTAAAAATCACTGACATTTCAGAGATAATAACATTGGCACCTAATAAGAAAGCATGACACCTCAAGAACCATTGTTTCAAAACTTTAAACCCTTTCCTTTTCAAATGCATGAAGTCTGCAGAATTAACATAGGAGCTTGTCTTTCTTTTAATTTTCTAATTAGTCCTCTGGACTGTTCCCTGACAATGACATTTTTTAAAACAACAAAAAATATTTGGCAGGTAATAGACTTCTGGAGGAACCTAGGGGTGACTGAACTATTACTGAACCCATGTTCAGTAAAATGTAGTAAGAAATTATTTATGACCACCCAATTTGACAGTTAATGGTGATAATGAAGCTTCATAACATGGGTTATACCAAATTCATATTTAAAATTTTAAAATGTCTTGTGACAAATGGTCAAAATATTACAATGTTAC